CAACCTGGGCATGTGCTCCAGCTGGGAATCAAACCACAAGTGTTCATACATCAACGCTCAACCAGGGCCACACCAACTGGGCCTCATTATCTTTATGGAGCATTGGGAGAAAAATGGGCTAGGCCACAGTGCATAGATATTTGGTCAAATATTCTAGGTGTTTCTGTAAGATATTTTTTGATGAGATTAACATATAAATTGGCAGAATTTGAGTAAAGCAGATTGCCCTCCATAATGTGGGTGGGCTAAACCCAATCAGTCAAAGGCCTTAATAGAAAAAGAAGGGGAGATTCTGCTGGCAGACTGCCTTTGGACTTGAACTGCATCCCTTCCCCAGGTCTCCAACCTACCAGCCACCACTGTATTTTGGACTTGTGTGAGCCAATTCCTTAAATAAATCTCTCTTCCCCTCTCCATACACAGACACACATACCCTATTGGTTTAGTTTCTTTTGTGAACCTTTTTTAAAAAATATATATATTTTATTAATTTTTTACAGAGAGGAAGGGAGAGGGATAGAGAGTTAGAAACATCGATGAGAGAGAAACATGCATCAGCTGCCTCCTGCACACTCCCTACTGGGGATGTGCCCGCAACCAAGGTACATGCCCTTGACCGGAATTGAACCTGGGATCCTTGAGTCCGCAGGCTGATGCTCTATCCACTGAGCCAAACCAGTCAGGGCTCTTTTGTGAACCTTAATACCTATACTGGGGTAGTTATTACCATTGTTCACAAATATTTCTGGTTTTCTCTCCTTCTGGGTCCATGAAAGGATTACACGTTCCTGAAAACCAGACGTTCCCTACCAGACCGCTGTACCGATTTTCAGGTAATTTCCACACAAAGGTGGAATATTGGCACTAGATGAAAGGTAGATGAAAGGTAGACCTATTTTCTACAATGTCTCCAAGTTCCATCTTATTCTAACCACTTGTTTGCATGTAACTAACATTTTTCTATATCATGTTGGTTTTTTCTCTTTAATGCTCAGGAGCCCAGGTATAGGGGACAGTTAGGTTCAGGGCCTCAGCTCTGGTAGACTTAAAAGTAAACCATGGTCATGTAACTTGCTTTGGCTAGTAAAATGGAGTGAGTAACAGGTACCACTTCTAAGCAAAAGCATTGAAGAGCCAGGACATGATTTTAAGAAAGTATATTTTGGTTAATCCTCACCCTAAGGTATTTTTTCCATTGAATTTTTAGAGAAAGTGGAAGGGAGAGAGGGAGGGGAGGAGGAAGAGAAATGGATTAGTTGCCTCCCCAAAAGTGCCCGACAGGGGCTGGGGGCCAGGGATGCAACCTGCAATTCCCATACATGCCCTTGACCGGGAACTGAACATGTGACCCTTTGGGCTGACACTCTAACCACTGAGAAACACTGGCCAAGGCCAGGGCATGATTCTTTATTCTCTCCCCTGTGGCACCAAGCTTTGAGTCATGCTGATATAGTAGAAACTTAAGGTGCTGCCTCCCTCAGCCTGGGACCCAGGGTAGAGCACTAAAGAGAATCGTTTGCCATGTTTAAAAAACTGCGATTTGGGGTTGTTTATGATACACCACTCAACATGCTGATTACAAGTTTTTGATTTTTTCATTGTTGCAATTTCAGTAGGACTATTTGATATGGACAATGAATAGTGATTTGGAATACTGTGTGCATTCACATGATGGCGTTAATTTTTCTAAAATGATTGTATGTAAACTTTTCACTAACTGGCTCCCCTTTAGTCCACACTATTGTTACAATATTTTGCCAAACCCACCAGCATCAATTCCATTATAAAACTTGGAATAAATGGAGCCCATATGGATATGAACATTTTGTAAACAAGACCTCAAGAACTAGTCTAACCAACTGTCAAATGTTTTATACTTTTATGGAGATCCTAGAATGTGTCCACCTTCTAGCTGCTACAAGTCCCAAATTACTACTAAGAAAAGAAAATCTTTCAATAAGGCAGATGAAACAAAACAGAAAATCTGGCTTTTGCTAGATGGAAAAATAAGTATCAAGATGGAGGTTGAACCACATGGGCCTGTGGGGAAATGAGATAAGCAGATGGAGACAATCATTTTCAAAATTATCTAGTCCTGAGGTTATCTGGAACCTCAAGACATGAACATATGGTTGAGATTATCAGATCCATCTAAAGTGTTCCGATTTTAAAATGAATTCTCAAAATTTTGGCCCAGTTAGAAAAAAAGAATGGATAGCACCACTTTTTTCCACAAATACCCAAAAACTCAGTATGGAGGGCATGAACCAGGTAGCATTTACTTCAATGCCCCAATAGGCCTCGCACAGTACCCTGCCTACAGTTGTCATTCAATAAGTGCTAAATTGACTTCTGTTACCACTTTCTCAAACCCGCTATCCCCCAGACAAGGGAAGCAGATGAACAGAGGAGCAGGGCAGACAGCTCAACAACGATAGGGTCAGTCTCAGTAAAGGTGCTCAGAGCCATGCTGGCGAGTACAGGACCTCCAGAAACAAGGTCACCGGAGACAAAACTTTGTCTTCCTTTTGGCAACAATGTCTTTTTGTGAAGAGAAGAATGGTTATGCAGTTTGGCTGTAAAGAATAGTCCTGGCCACAGAATGGGCTGGGATTTACCTCAATAGAGGAGCTAGCCAATCCTCGAGGATCATGTGCTCTGAGGACAAAGGTGTCCTCCACACTCAGGGAACAGACCGGCCTTCGGCCTGGAATGCTGTACCGAGGTCGCTGGTGTCAGGGCAATTCTCAGGCAGTTTCCCCCCAGAGGTTGCTCCTCTTCTTACAGGTTAGTATAGCCTCCCGGGCGATAAACCATACACAGCAAGTCAATGCTGCCGAGACTTCAGACCTTGAGGAAATCCCTTAGTCACTTGTGACTATTTGTCACATAATTAAGCACACTCCACATTGCCCTGAATAAAAAAGCTTGAGCTGTAAGCCATCTCTCAGTCACATTCCCTTGCTGGATGCTGAGATGAGAACAGGAAAATCATACCACATGTCTGCCATCTGTATTTGTACTTGTCAACAGCTCTGTTTTGGGATAAACAGTTTTGAAGTCAGAATCAATTCGACTTGTTGGAAGATTAGCCAAGGAACAGCTCAGAAGACCAAAACAGAACATGAAGTCAAATAGTCTAAAAAATTAAGCACAATTTCTGTTTCTCACTCAACATTCCGTTTTGTCGCAGAAGAAAAAGAGCATAGCAGCCAGGGTTTGGGGGCAGAGAATATATGTTTATTCAAGTGAAAAATTATTCAACTTAGAACAAATGCCTTTGCTGTGATGCAACTGGAAAGCATTCACTGACCTCTAGGAGACTACAGTTAAGAAAAAAGTAATTTCAGCAGTTACACTTTTCTCACGGTTCTACTATGTGAAGGCATACACAGGGGACAGCTTGCGTTGGGTACAGTGCATAATACGGCCCGTTATTACCATAAAAACGGTAGCATTTCCCAAAGTCGATCTTGATTAGAAGTAGTTCCATGGTTGAAAACACTACCCACTGTAGAGCTATTAAAATAGAGAGATGGCAAGGGGGAAATAAAGACATACACCGAAAAGGAGGCCGGGGAGGAAGGTAGCACAAATAGGATGTACAGATTGCTGGGAGATAACAACGGAATTGCTTTCAGAAGCAGCTGGTGTAAGTGAATGAAGGGCCCGGTAGCCTGGCAGCCCCGCAGATCCTAGGAAACAAATGGGAACATGCATGCTCCACTTGAAGGGACATCCATTTTCTCCCTAAAAGAAGTCGTTTGTAAAAGAGCAAATTGGTGATTTGTACTTACAGACTGGTTCCCTTTCAAGCCCCTGTCAAGCAGTGTTAAATTATTGAAGCACAGCGTAGTGTATTTTTGGCGTACACACAGTTAAACCTTGCAAATGTTTCTGGTCACCTTTCTCAAGTTATTAAAAAATAATTGTCTCCACTTACTCTATGATCTTTAAAACGAAACAAGACAAAGTGCCACACATCTCTCTCCAGAACCAGCACGGCCCCTTTCCCCTACTTCCTGATCCGGCCCCCCAATCCTTCAAGCAAGCAATTGTTTAGACTGGGGAGGGTGGGAGGAGGAAGGCCAATATAACATTCACACAATTGTCTGGTGTTCATTCAACCACAGGGTTGTCCTGGAACAGCATAAACTGTTCAGAGAATAAAGCGGGGTTGTGGACATCTCATTAATAACTTGTGAACCCCCCTCAGAGGGGTCACGTACCGCAGAGGGGCCGCCTTGTGCCAGCACTGTGCACGCTGGTGCTTGGCTCCTGGACAGCGGCCACTGCACACAGCTGCCACTTGAGGAAGGCTTCCGGACGCCCCTCCCTGATCAGGAGTGAGGAGATTCTCCCCAATCAGCTGAGCAACTGAAACCTGACTATGTCTACAAACCCTATGCTGTGCTTTAATCTAAATGACAACCAGACAGATAGCAGGACCAGCCCCTCCCCTGATGTGTTCACAAAATGAGTAACCTTGATGCCAATGCTCCGGAAAGGGAGCAAGGGAATCCAACAGGTCGAACAGCACTCGAGGAGATATGAGATGACTGTGGGCAGACTTGGCTTAAATGGAACATTTTCACCCAACCAGCATACTGGGAACCTTTCAAATTTTCTCCCCCAAATCAAGTCAGATTCCCACTCCCTTCTGTGGAAGAGCCACTCCTAGGTCCCTGATGCTATTTTCTATCAGGTGACTGTATCAGAGGCTGAGCTTCTGACCTCATGGACCCTCACACTGAAACTGGATAGCTTTGTAGAATATTTTCACTCAAGTATTTTGTGTGGGAAATAGAAGGGGAAGGAATAAAGGGGACATCTCTAAGATGTTTGAATTATTATCCTGTGCATCATTTTAGTCAGTTGAGTAAGTAAAACAATCAAACCAAATGACTTTAAAGTCATGTAGGGAGAAACAAAGATCTTTCTTTTTCTTTTTTTTATTCTTTTTGCATCCTGCACACACAGAGGTAAAAAAAAAAAATGACTGAAACTTAAATATGAAAGAATTCTTTACAATTAAATCCACAACTTTATACATTTATCTTACTCACATGTCAGTGAAAAATCACCAATTATTACTGTTTCTACTTAATAACTGAAAAATCACCAATTATTATGAAATATGACAAATTATATAAAAGAACCAAAAAGATCTCATAAAAAAATATATCCAGGTCTGAAGAGTGCTGTACGCTTGATGCCTTCACATCCTTCTCTTCTGTGTGCTTATGTATAACACTGAAAAAACAAAACAAAACATACAGACATTGAAGAACTGTCCTTAAGCATCATAACAGTAAGTTTTTTAAAAATATATATGTTTTTTTGATTTTTTTACAGAGAGGAAGAGAGAGGGATAAAGAGTTAGAAACATTGATGAGAGAGAAACATCAATCAGCTGCCTCCTGCACACTCCCCACTGGGGATGTGCCCGCAACCAAGGTACATGCCCTTGAGCGGAATCGAACCTGGGACCCTTCAGTCCGCAGGCTGACACTCTATCCAGAGCCAAAATGGTTAGGGCATAACAATAAGTTTTAAAAGCAACAGATTTTGGCCTGACACCTCTGCAAATCGAAAGGAAATTTCCATACTACACAATAAACTCTAGAATTACTGTAGACTAATTTTATGAATCTAGACTTGGTTTGATGTTATATAGGACTGTGTTCTAGTCTTAGCTGACTTACTTTTGTGACCAGGAGGATAAAACAAAATGAATGTGAAAGTTACCAGAATACAAAAATGTTTTATGATTATAGGTACATAAATTTTACGAGGCTGGATTCAGATTACGAATAAAGGCTAGATTCAGATTACGAATAAAGAACATATTTTCACCCATTTCCCCAACAGAAACTCTAAATTTGCTGTCTAATTTTATAATTGTGGCAGGATAAACAAGAGCTGAGGAGTTTGTTATTTTAAAAAAAGTCCTTTTTCTGAGTCCCCTGGTGTTGCCAAAGTGCTGCTTTGCTAGGCTTCCTGTGACCACCCACATTGAACTCTTCAGGAGAGGTGGTCCATAAGAATAAGACAGGATATAAGATAAAATACTATGCCTGGGTCGCCAGAGATGTACGTCCCTCACATCCCCACCTACTCAGATTCTGACAGATTTGTTCACAGGGAAATTTAGAGATATCTTGATCAAAGATCATCCTATATAACAAAAGCATAATATGCTAAGTGTCCAGTCATCCATTCAACCAATCAAAGCATAATATGCTAATGATATTTAAGGCCACTCAACCGCTCACTATGAAGTGCACTGACCACCAGGGGGCAGACGCTCCAATGGGTAGGTTAGCTTGCTGCTGGGGTCCGGCTGAGCGAGATGGTCTGGACATGCCCTGGAGCCCTCCCTGCAGTTCCTCCCCAGCTGGCCAACCTCCCGCATCCCTCCTCGACCCCGATTGTACACTGGTGGGGTTCCTCCACCTGGCCTGGGCCCTCTCGCAATCTGGGACCCCTTGGGGATGTCGGAGAGCTGGTTTCGGCCCGATCCTGCTCAACACAGGAGCTGCCCCCTGGTGGTCAGTGTGCTCCCACAGGGGGAGTGCCGCTCAGCGAGAAATGGGGCTCACAGCTGGCAAGTGCAGTGGTGGTGGCAGAAGCCTCTCCCGCCTCTGCAGCAGCCCTAAGGATGTCCGACTGATGGCTTAGGCCCGCTCCCAATCAGTCAGACATCCCCCAAGGGCTCCTGGACTGCGAGAGGGAGCAGACTGGGCTGAGGGACACCACCCCCTCCCCCAAGTGCACGAATTTCATGCACTGGGCCTCTAGTAGCACAAATTAATCAAGTAAGCCAAGATCCTCTTTAAGAGTCTAGGATATGTGTGTGTGTGTGTGTGTGTGTTTGTGAGGGGGGGAGGGGGGCGTTAATTGGGGAAAAAGGAGACATTTACTGTAAAACTTTAGATAATAAAAAAAAGTCTAGGATGTGAATGTGGGAGTCTAAAAATAACTACCACTGATTATTAATTATTACATCATGGAAAAGATATATGAAGAGAAGCATCAAAATGACAGTAAAAACATCCTGGGAAATTGGACATGGTCTACATGTTGTATATGCATGTGACAGGATCCACCCTATCACTTACAGAACCTGCAACTGACCGCTATCAGTTGTCTTGAAATGTTGAAAAATCCTAACATTTCTTAGTAAATGTAAGAGATCAAATAAGAACAGTATGAAAAATGAGAAGAGAAACTCTACATGTTAGAACTAAAAAGCATATTATATATGAAGATATGGGAAAATATGGCATCGTATGACCAGGAGATAGAATACCCACACTAAGTCAGGGCGCTGAGTTCACAGCAAAGGGGCTGAGGGAGTTACCCAGAACTAAAGAATGCACACCAATAAAAAGCCCAAACTCAGGCTCCCAGAGCTCCATTTGGGGAATGGGAACAAAAAGTGGGGAGGGGTCAAGGGATAAGTGCCATCGTTTTGAAGTCTTCTCCTTCCCCCTAAAAATTCATATATTACTTTAGTGATATGTGTTTTTAAATGAGGTACTTAAAAGTAAACATAATAATCACAGCCATATATTAGCTGTTAAAAAGCTGAGTAATTTTAGAACCATATTTCCTGTTTTGTCATTTTTGTCAAATTAAAAGATACAATCTCCACAGAGAGCATTTAAATGATTCACAAAGGACAAATAGGAGAAGCTAACTGCCAAATGATGCAAACCAAAGATAGCAGGGAAACACTGGCCATTCTTACAGCCCCAGATTCCAGTGTGAGAGGCAGTGTTGGGGGAACAGAATAAACTGTATTCAACAGAAAGAGTTCGGGTCAGTACACCAATGCCCCTCAGTAAGGGCAGGGGAGATTTTTTAGTCCCCAAATCCATGAAGCTACTAAAAATAAGCTGGTCACACTGAAGATTTGAAATATAAGAATTTAAAAGTAAACGAAGTAAAACTAAAACTGAACTTTTAAGTTATCTAGAAAATCCATTGGTGATCCCAACTATAAACACAAAGGCTTAGTTCAGATGTTGTACAACTACACTACAGAGCGAAGAAATATTACCGTTGTTTCCTCGGATAAATGCATCCCCATACTTATTCTTCAGCTGTCCATTTACATATTCTTCCGTCTGCTCCAAGGCTATATTCATGTAGCCATCCAGACAAGCCAGGACCCCTGCAGACAGATTGAGTCAAAGAGAAGATATACAAAGCAAGGAAGAGTTGAAAATTACAGGGTATACCTTAGAGCTGACCATTTTTCCATTCATTAGCTCTTACATGCTTAATATAAAAATTCACACTGTAAACAACACTGAATAGATGGATGCATAGAAAATGCCTTTATTTAATGTCCATGTGAATAAAAGCTAAGAAGCATCAGCATGAAAGTAGGAAAAACAATGAACTGTCACTTTTTTCATGGTATGTGTGATAACAGTAACTTTTAAAGCCTTCACAAAAGTAACATAATAAGAATATGCCAAATAAAACACCATTCTTTGAAAACTAAAAAAAGGAGTAGGAAATTATGCAGGAGCAAATAACCATTAGCCAAGACTCCTCCCTTCCAGGGGCATTTCTTACTTTAGCCACTAAGTGAAATACGGGTCTGGCAGATTTATTTTATTCTTTCACAACAACTACTGCAGCAAATGAATGTACTGCAAGGTTAAGAGGAAGTCTCCACAATCTGTTAAAATAATAGAAGAGGAGACAGCAGGTGCTCCTGAAGGAACAACTTAAAGCTGTGACTCACAGTGAAGAGCAGCTTGAGAATACAAGGCAACATATTGCATTATAACACATCCCTTTCTGTTTGTTACAGTTATAATATTTCAAATCCAGACTAATACAGAAAAATGGCCACAAACATTCTAGGGAACTTTCAAGGAAACTGGGTGAATAGTTTTCAAAACTGAGTCTCTAACTTAAAGAGGTATTTTCTAGAAAAATAATTTAAGTGAAAGCAAATACTACAGATTAGATTCAATTAACCAAGTCGACAACTTCATTTAGTCTCAATTTCGTTAGTATGCTCCTCACTCCCTGCCTCCGGCCCCATTCTCCTCTAAACAAAAGTTTCTTTTCAAAATTGTATGTGTAACGAGAGCATAAAACATTCACCTAACAGAATTCTGCTAAAAACTGGAAGCTTTCAGAGAATCACAATGGATTCTGAACATTAACAATTATCTCCTATCAAAAAGTTTATGATACAACTCTACAGTTTATTTCCTGCTGTATTAATTTTACAATTAAACCACAATTGTAAAAGAGCAAGAAACTTCTGAGACCTGGTCTGCAAATCTGTTTGAAAATGCATCAAGAGCATTTCAAAATTAAATGTTCACTTCTAATAAAAATAGCTATTCTCAAAGGAAAGGTTGTTTTTTTGTTTTTTTTTAAAAGAAAAAGGTGCCAGGTTATAATTGTAACACCTTCCTTTCTCTAAGGGATAAACTACTATAAATAACAGAAAATAAAGTTTTCTTTAAGCTTAAAGAGAAACTGCTACAAAGAGCTGGTTTTTAGTAGTATTTAACCACAAAATGAGAGCTCTGTGTAGTAATACTCCCAACAGTGTACACCACTTTGCTTTAATAGTATAGAAGCCATGAGCCAGACATTCAGAAAGAGAAAAGTTATGACTACCACCCATGTGAAAGGTTATTTAGCCTCACTAGTAAACAGAGAAATATAAATAAAATGAGATATTACTTGTTGCCAATTAGAATGAAAAAGTTGAAAACAAAGCTAATACAAGGGTTGGTGAGAGCCTAAGGAAGAATGAACCCTCTGCTCCAATGCTCTTCGACTCAGAAATCTTAGCCTAGGGAATTGATTCTAAAGAAATAGTTGGACAAACGCTCAAGATATGTCAAAGGAGCAAATATGTTTATAATAACAAAACTGGTAAACCCTTAAATGAGCATTCATAGGGAATTGGTTAAAAATTAACACAAAATTATGGTACATCCACACAAGGTAACCCCATGCAGTCATTAAACACTTTATACTGTCAGATAACTAAACATATTTTTTATTATTAAAAGAAAAATCAGGGTGCATGTATAGCTGATCCCACTGATGTAAAACTATGCTTATATGGAGACAGATCCAGTTGGTAAGGCTGATTGTCTCTGGGTAGTAGAATTTTGGGAGAACTGGCTTTCTTCTGGAGTATACTTTTCTCTAGTATTTGCTTTGAAATTTATAACAAAACAAAAAATCCCATACACATTACATTTATAAATAGGTAAATTTTCCCTAAAGAGCAGAGACAAAAAGGTCCAGCTGGTTGATCTCCTCAATGAAGTGGGTACTGAGAAGATATTGAACACAGTGTTCACCCTAATCACCTGCTGAACATACTCAAATCTCTAGAAGTCTATTACATACTCTTTTAGGTTCATCAAAAGTTCATGGATGAGAAGCAGTACAGAGAGACTTTATAGTATCTCACTATTTAGTATAATCCACTGGTTTCACTAAAAAATCATATTAAATTGGAGATGTTATTAATATCAAGAAACCAAAGCAGTACATAAACAGCAAGGCGTTTGTGTCATGCATGAGTCTGAGTCCTAGTTCCTCTTACCAGGTGGGGATAATCAACAGAGATCTCAAAGGACTTATATGAAGATAAAATGAAAATTAAAGTGTTGAGCACTCACTGGACCCACAGTAAGCTCTCAATAAAATTAAGTTTGCATGTGTGAAAAGAGAAAAAAGCTCAAGAGATTACTATCATTATTCAGAAGAGAGATGAAAAATTATTCAAAAAGAAGACTAAGGAAAGGCCATAACACTCTGCTAACGAATTAGTTTTCTGTACCTGTAAACTAGTCCAGGTAATTTAACATATCTTAATTTTGGAAGACTAGAAATTTAGTAACTTAAAAAAAAAAAGGAATTTGATACCCACACAATTAATTTTAGTAGTGTCGCAGCCTTAAAAAGAGCATTCTCTAAGAGAACAGAAAGGTGTTTTTGGATAACCCGCACATTATGCGAGTGGGAAGTTTATGCTGTAAAATGACACTGTCTGAATAGCTGCTGCCAACCTTCAATACTTCTGCAAAACAAACGCTATTATGCCAAGGGTTCTTCAGTATCCAGCCAGTATTCACGCCCGAGGCGACTGGGAATCCTTGGCTGCTACCAGGGTACCAGGGAACGGAGGCACACAGGCTCTCCAGGCAGAGACAGGAGCCGGGAGCCACAAACCACACCGGAAGGCAGAAGCACACACTCTGGTGTCAGTTGTGTCTCTAAAGGGGATCAATCCAGGGGAAGAAAAGAGGTGGGCATAAAAACTGTTGACAACCAATGATTTTTGAGATTCACTGGGTATGTTTAAAAAGTTGCTAAAAATCAGTTAGTTATATTTACTTATTTAATTACACCAGTGAGGATGAAGCAGAAAAATAGTACCTCGATAATCCACTCCAGAATTTAGTTTTACCACCACTGGTCGTCCAATGATTTGCTTTAAGAAGTCGCTGGGAGTCTGCTTCCGTAGACTCATTGTAACAATCCTGATCAGAAATCTGAAAAGGGGCAATAAAGGCAAGGACAAAAGTTAATTACTGAACAAAAAAAAGCCTGAAGGCCTTAACATATTTATAGGACACCAAGTATCAATGGAGCACATGTGAAGACTCCACATTATTCTACCACCACACAACAGCTAACATGTTTCAGGAACTACTAGGAGCCAGTAACTAAGTGTGGCGCTTTCCATACATTACCTCATCAGTCCTCACATCGACCCTCTGACAGCCTCATCGTAGAAAGGCCCTGTTCTCAACCACTTGTACTACTGCCTCACACACAAATCAGTATACCCATTCATTGAATGCTTGTGTTATTTATGCAGAGCACTCTGCTAAGATCCTTATACACACTACCAAATTTAATCTTTACAAGAACCCTGGGAAGGTCTTAATATCCCCATTTTGCTAATGAAAATAAAGGCACACAGAAAGATGAAATAATTAGCTCCCAAATGTGATGAAACCAACATTCAAGCTCAAATCAGTCATATTTTAAAGTCTATTCAAAGGTTCTCATAATTTAAGTTAAATAATTTTCTTTTCCAAGAGAAGTCAACATCCCAAGTTAAATAACAGAAAATACAAGTTTCAAAAACTACTCTTGAATTTGGGACCTCCTCATCCACTGCATCTCCCCAAGGCCTGAAAAAAATCTTAATGTGATCAACTGATTATTTTGCCCAGCAAATTTTAATTTAACTTTTCCACTGAACTGTCAGTGTATTTTTTTTGCTACACAGTCTCAACAGAACTAAAATCACAACTACTATGCTGGACAACCACTATTCATTCAGGACTCAGACCATACAACAATGTTATGCAGTTTTGAACACAAGGAAAATAAAAAACAAAGTAAATACTGTAACAGATTATATACCTTTAATGGGTTCAGTAAAAACAAATCTTCCCATTCATTTATAAACTGCCTTATTTATGTGCTGAACATGTGCCGGTTTGTGGATGAATAGATCTAGAGACTATTAACCCTGAGGGCCTGATATTGACTCAACTCATGAGTCTTAAGTTCATTTCCTATCAGATGCTAAATCCCATTATGCCAGTTTCTTCATATATAAGATCGAGATCAAACTAGCTATTTTGTGTTAAAAAACTAGTAAGATGCATCATGAAGTGAAAATCTAGTTCACAGGGATAGTATTAACTGCCTTGTTCAGTTACCAACAGAAAAAAGAATACAAACCTAGACTATTAGTTGTTTAACTGATGGTGTCCAGGTTTTTTGTTCGGTTTTGAGGTTTTTTTTGCATTTTTTCCTTTTTGAATTTATTGAGGTGACACTGGTTAACAAAACTATACTGGTTTCAGGTGCACAATTCTACAATGCATCACCTGTACTGTATTGTGTTCACCATCCCAAGTCCATCACCATTTATCCCCCCACACCCTCTCACACCTCCTCCTTCTCCCCCCACAAGCACCACACTGTCTGTGTCCATGAGTTTTTTAACTCTATCCCCCCACCCCCCACCCCCAACCCCACCCTCTCAATAGCTGTTAGCCTGCTCTATGAGACTGTCTATTTTGCTTGTTAGTTCATTTTGTTCCTCCCAGACTATTAGTTGTTTAACTGACAGTGTAATTATATTAAAAATCTTATTAATATTATCTCCCCTCACCTTTAAAAAAAGCTCGGCTATAGCCCTAGCAGGTTTGGCTCAGTTATTATAAGGTCAAGCTGTGGACTGAAGGGTCCCGGGTTCAATTCTGGTCAAGGGCACATACCTCAGTTGTAGGCTCAGTCGGAGCCGTGTGGGAGGGAACCTATCACTGTGTTTCCCTTACACAGAGTTTCTCTCTCCCTGTTTCTCCCCCTCCCTTCCATTCCTTCTAAAACATCAATGGAAAAAATATCCTTGGGTGAGGATTTACAAAAACTAAAATGAATAAATAAATAAATAAAAGTACAGCTATATTCTTCTAAGTTTATCAAAGATCATACCTCTGCCATTACTAGTAAGCCTCATCTTTACTCCAATTAACACCGATTTCTGTCTGAAGGCATTCAACACTTCCAACTTTCACCAGCACCTTAGTGGCAGGCACATAGGCTGGGTAGGGATGTAACACTGACAAGATATGGCCTTGGACCCTTGATACTCCGAAGCAGGCCACACACATACACCCTTGTAAAAGAAGAATTTTTAAAAGTTGTATGTAGTTGGATAGAATTTTGCAGAGAACAGCACACAGAAAGATCAGAGAAGGACTTCTGGAGGTGACACCTGAGCGGAGTGTGAAGGAAAAGAGTCCACCAGCTGGAAGGACAGAAAGCTTGGCGAAGGCACTGGACGGTGTGAGGAGAAAATTGACACAGGCAAGGAGGGCCAGCTGCAGCCTCCGAAGGCAGCAGGGCCACATTCCTGGGGAGCATGACTAAGAGCTTGGCCTTGAGCCTCTAGGGCCGTTTCCCAAACATGAGCCTGTGGATCACTTGGAGATTCTGCTTCAGTAGAACCAGGGTAGGAACCAGGGATCTGTTTGCACAAGCCTAGGAGACTCCTATGAACCGGTGGGTAGGGGAAATACTGTGTCAGTGGCTGGGGACACGGGATGGTTGAAGCAGAGACCTGCATGAGTACCACTGTCCACTTCAGATGGAGTGGAGATGTGCTCTGGCATCAAGTTTCACATCTGGTTGTATTTGTATTTGATGTAACCTGTCACCAATTACTGTCTTATATATATATATATTTTTTTAATACAAGTCTTTTCTCCCTCAACAGACTGTAAGCCACATGAAAGGAGAGACAAATACCAAGCTTTTCATTTATTCTCCAGAGCATCTATATTCTGGAAAATCTCTTGAAAAATATTTTAACAGTTATTTGGAAAGAGGATGTTCAAACACATTTTATCCATCACGTCAGAGACCATATTTTTTACATTTGTCTTCATTAGGCTTCCTCGATACTCCCTTTTACTTAATGACTTGCCCATAAATCCATTTTGTATGAGTAAATTGGTCTCAACATCACAATTTTTCCCATCACTTGGCTCACGTGAAAACTTTGTTTTCATCTTTGAACTTGGATAAGACAGAAGGAATAGTTCTGACCATTTCTGAAGCAAGAGAACAGCCTCTTGAACCATCAATATTATAAAAGGCCAGTGGCCGTAACGCAGTAACAACCAAACGACCGGTCACTAGGAGGTCTGGGTCCTGCCCTGCCAGCGCAGCGGGTCTGGGTCTCGTGCGATTTCACACACTGACCCTCCTTTCTGCAGGGTCACCTTGATAAAACTCCTCCCTTAAAAATTAACGCCACAATTACCCTCTATGCCTCCTCTGCCTCCAACCCTGGTTTGTTCTAACTAAATTACCTATTTTCACACATGGCTATTCAAAGGCAGAAGCTTCTGAGAGGTCTAAGATGAGAACATTTGCAAATTGCCCTGCAGAGATTTCCTTTAGTAAAAAAAATGGGGGGAAAGAACCAAATTTTACTCATCCAGGTATGTGCCAGGCATTAGAGTCCTGAGCAATTCACAAGGTCACCAGGTGAGTGGCAAGCAGAACCAAGGCTTGCTCCCAAAGCCCAAGCCCTTGCAAAGGCACAACTGCCCTTTGGACTATGTCAAGGTTCTCCTGTTAAACAGGCGATGGCCACAGACAGTGAGAGGGAGCCTAAATTATTGCATATCAGCCCATAAAGGACTGTAACGACCAGAAAGAAATATCTCTAATGTGATTTTGAATCATGTCACTGAGCAAAAAACACGTAAATTCTTGTTTCTTGGCCATGTTCACCTGGACATTTTTGCCTACTCTTAGAATATTTACAGCTTAGGGTGAAAAAAAATTTGAAAAGCAAAATATTGCTATGAAACATAACATTACAACCCAAGTAAATGTACTTTAGCAGAATGTATCAGTCTGAGAGGACATCTGACACCGAGAACGGCTCTCCTTTCCAGCGGACCAGTCTCCCACAGCAGGCTCCAAGCTTCTGGGGGATCTCTGGTACCTAAACACACTGCCCAAGCCTGTGGACGGGGCATTTAAGGGCAGTGCTAAGACAAGTCCCCGTCCCTCCCCTCGTCAACTATGGGTATAGTGACTAATACAGTATCATTCATGCACCTGAGCAGCTATAACACATTAACATCTCTATTACTAACCACCAAATAAAATATGGAGAAAGGAGAAATGTTTCTTTGTTGTCCAAGAAGCACCTACATCTGAATCAACAGAGATGCTTGCTAAAATGCAGATTCCTGAAGCCTCCCCAAAGTCAGGCTGTCTAGGCAAGGGGCGATGGAATTCACATCAAGTTCCCCAAATAATCCCTTTGAGCAAATGGTTCTTGACCAGGAGAGATTTTGCCCCCAACCTCAGGGACATTTGGAAATGTCTGGAGGCATTTTGGATTGTCCTGTAAATATTCTAAGAGTAGAGGCCAAGGATATAGCTTACCCGTCTACAAAGGATAAGAAAGCTCTCCATAACAAAAAATTAACTGACCCAAAATGTCAATTGCGGGTGAGAAACTGCTGTAAGTCCTAAATCAAAAAGAGCATTGTTCTCTGGTCTCGACATCAAGTTTTGAAAAAAACCACTTTCAAGGTGGAACAAATGAGAACAAACAGCTAAGTTCTAACGGGATGACAGAGTATAAATTGTAACTTATTAAATACTTTATCCCAACAGTTAGAGAATCTGAAAACAACTGTCAACAAATCTTGAAGGGGTTGTCATTCTAAATAAGGATTTCTATCCCTGGCCATGAAAATGGACCCTTTCCCATTTTTCAGTGTCACAAATCCCTCGGAGGATTGAAATCTCTGTTACTTGGTACAATTGTAAAAGGAAAGATTAATCCAGGAGATGTAAACATCTCTTCAAATTCTAGTATCGAGTGTGCCACAGTTCAGTGCGACCACCGAGGCAGCATCAAGAGTACTCACTTGGGAGGCAGGACACCTGAGTTCTAATCCCAGCTCTGCTACTTAATTAGCCGTGCGCCTCGGGTAACTCATCATTTCACCTCTCAAGGCCTCAGGCTCCTCATCTGCAAAATAAGGCAGTTATGCTAGAAGACCACTTAAGTGACCAGTCAGCCAGCCTGTAACTCCAACAATACACACACACACTAACATACCCTCTCAAGATCCCTTCGCAAAACTTAAGGAAGTGGACTTGCCAGACACCACCATTTAACAAACAAACAAAAAACAAACACCAAAAATTCCAAAGACAGGCTCATCTTTGCTGGTTGGTGTATTAGAAATGTATTATCAGCTATCATAATTTTGGTGCAACAGGCACAAGTCCTACATGAATGATGTAAACTACTAAACTATTTTGTTAAACAATTTGGCAATGGGTGTGAAGACCTAAAAAGACCTTAGTAGAAGGCAGCACCTATTCCAATAATTTCACTTCTCAAAATCTAGTCCAAGTAAAGAATCTAAAATACAGGTGTTTTTTTGTGGGTTTTTTTTTTTAAGTTTATCAGAGTATTGCTAAAATGAAGCAAGAACTCACAAATATCCTAAATGCCCCAGAGTTGGGATAGTTGAGTAATTTTTGGGACATATATAATGATGGGTTAGGGAGCCAATCAAAAGGATATACAAAATTAGGGATGCTATTTAGAAGAACTTTTTTTAATTGATGAGAGAGACAGGGCAGGAAGAATTTTTAAATAAAACTGGAAAACTAAATATACTGTGAAGTGACCAAATAGGTAATCTCAGCTCAAGGAGAAACGAGCACAAGCAAGAGTGAAATACGGAAAGAAATTGTAAGTGGAGGGTTCAGAGGATGGTTTTCTCACTGAGCTCTTCAGTACTTTCTTTTTTTCTACAATAGCCTGTACCTAAGGGGACCACACTGAACCACGAGCACCTTACCTGCACCCCCGGGTGCTGGAAGCCAGAGCCTGAACCCCGGCCAGGGACGCGCGCCCCTGCACACAAAAGCCCTGGGCCGGAGCTGACCACCGGACAACGGCAGGTGGGGCGTCCCCAGCCTGGGAAGGTGGGCCAGCCCGCCCTTAATTCCCGGGGGTCCGGTGCAAGCACCCCGATGGCTACAGGCCCGGCGGACAATGTCCTGCAGCCCTAACACCCCGGCGCAGCGCGGCCGTGCCCGGGAGTCCGCTTTCCCGCCGAATCCCCAGGCTTAAGTCGGGGTTCCCTGCGGAACTTCGACAACCTGGGGTGCACTCGGAAGCCAGATCCGGGGGCCCCGGCGGGTGCCGTTCGTTACCGCGCGGGCCAGGCGCCCCCGCCCCGCGGGAGGGGCTCTCCGGGACGGCTCATCCGGCGCCGACCACCCCGGACCTCCCGGCCGCGCCAGGCGCCACGAGCGCGGCCTTCGCGGGACCGGCCTCCCGCAGGCTCCGCGGCTGCTCCCCTCCCTGCCCCGGGCGGCGCCACACCGGGGCTGGGAGTGGCCCGTGCGGCTGCGGGCTCACCTCGTGGCTGGGACCCGGAATGCCCGCTCTGGGAGCCCCACAAGTCCAGCCTCCGCCAACGGGACGAAATCGAAAGTGAAACCGCGGCGGCGGCGGCACTTTCCCGCCTCAGCCAATCACTGCTCCCCGGGCTACGGCGGCCCGCGGGGCCAAAAGAGCCCAGCCTGGCGGGAGCGCGCAAATCCTGGAGTTCAGGTTCGCCTGAAGGCAAAGTCCGTGCTGCGGGGTTAAATGGAAAGCGCTGGTGCTCTCTCCTTTAACAGAAAGCCCCTCTTAAAAAAATAAAAACGATAATAAGAAAAACAGGAAGTGATCTTTCAGGCAGAAATGTAAGAAGTAGCTCGAAGTCATAGGCAACTAGAAGTTACTACGAAAGTAATGACTATACACACCCAGAAATGTCCTCGAATAATTGAAAGCAAATAAATAAATAAAAGAAGGGTCCTCAAATCTTTAAGTCCACCTTTGGATTTTGACTTAAGTGTGTGAAGATGAAGCCATTATTAGCAGGAGATTGTTTCCGTGGCAACGTTAATTGACACAAATAGGATTAAAATCACCAAAGTAACTCTGTATTATAATGGAATAAATTGCGTTCCATTACAAACTATTTCTAATTGGAAATGGTGCGCAGACATTAAGTGCTGCTATGGGAACCTGGTTTGGAATTTTGCTTTTGACTTCTCAATATTCTTGCTATAAATGGAAAGGGAGAGGTAAATAAGGAAACTGTCAAACCGAGACTTGATTCCTTTCTCTACACACATGGCCTCATCACATTAAATCTTATACTTTAATTCTACATAATTTGTAACACCATAAACAGTGGTGATTTCTTTAAACAGATTCTTAACCCTGTGTTATAGAATCTAAGAGGCAGAATTTTTTTCTAAGACAAAAATGAATTCCTCCTCTTGTAAGCTAAAGAGATGAACTTTTGATTGAGATCACAGGTAGGGAACAACTGGGCATGATTTGGTACAAAAGACAGACTTTCTTGTATCCTATAAAAGCTCACTTTGGGTAAAGACCAAGCATTATGGATTTTTTGAAAGACTGTATTTGAAATCCTTGCAGTATAAAATATAATGTAAACACAAAATTTAAATAAAGTATTAATTAAAATAATTAGCTGCAAAGAACATACACAATCTATACTAATAAAAGGGTAATATGCTAATTAGACCGGATGTTCTTCCAGACAAAGCCATGGTAGCAGGGGCCGAGGCAGAGGCGGTTAGGGGCGATCAGGCCGGTAGGCAGGTAAGCAGTTAAGAGCCAGCAGTCCTGGATTGTGAGAGGGTTCCCAGATTGGAGGGGGTGCAGGCCGGGCTGAGGGACCCCCCCTCCCATGCACGAATTTCGTGCACTGGGCCTCTAGTAGAATATAAAGCCCTGTCCCTTAAAACCTTTTTCACAAAAGACATCAAATTGTACCATATTCCCCACTACTTGTTTCAATTATTTAAAAAAAGAAGGTTTGATTCATAACCTCTTTCCCTTTGCCAGAGAGCCCTGATGGAGTCATAAGACTGGTGTGGTGGGCAGGGGGTCATGAGGAATATTAAGGTCATGGTTCATCTTCAGAGGCAGCTGTAATCCTTTCCAAGGGGCATGGACTGTAAGGGCCCAACTAGACAAATGGGGTGGGCGCCATGAATTACTTCACAAGCCAACAAGTTTACCTAAATGTGTTTATCCAGAATTCTTTCAGCAGCTTATGACTGGCTTTTACCAATTCACAAAGCAACTTTCCATATTTCACAGGGTATTTTTAGTATCTCTAATTTTGCAAAGAATCGGCAGGATTTTTCTGAAGACTAGTCCACCAAGAACTCATCTTCAAACCCATGGACATAAACATTAATTTATTAAGGCCATAAAAATAAATATGATAAATCATAACAGTAATTTGACAAGATTTAGTTTAGCTTACATAGTTGTTTAGTTTAATTTTTAAAATTGACAAACCTACATTGACACATCAATATCACCCAAACTCCATAGTTTACATTGGAGTTCACTCCCCCCCCCCCCATGTTTTTATTGATTTCAGAGAGGCAGGAGAGGGAGAGAGAGGTAGAAACATCAATGATGAGAGACAATCATTGATAAGCTGCCTCTTGCATGCCCCCTACCCAGGATCAAGCCTGCAACCCTGACATGTGCCCTGACGGAACTGAACTGTGCGTGACCTCCTGGTTCATAGGTTGATGCTCTGGGTTTACTTTTGGTGTTGTACATTCTATGGGTTTTGACAAACATATTTTACATGTGCCCATTATGATAGTATCATACAGAGTATTTTCACTGCCCTAAAAATCCTCTGTGCTCTGCCTATGCATCCCTCTGTCCCCACTAATCCCTGGCAACCACTGATCTTTTTACTGTCTCCATGGTTTTGCTTTTTCCAGAATATCATAAAGTTGGAATCCTACAGTATGTAGCCCTTTCAGATTGGCTTCTTTCACTCAGTAATATGCATTTAAGTTTCCTCCATGACTTTTCATGGCTTTATAACTCACTTCGTTTTAATGCTGGATAGCAATTCATTGTCGATATACCACAGTTTATTTATCCATTTACTTACTAAAGGATGTCTTAGCTACTTCCAAGTTTTGGCAATTATGAATAACCTGCTATGAACATCTGTATGCAGGTTTTTGTGCGGACATAAGTTTTCAACTCGTGGTAAATGAGTTGAGTTTTCAACTCTTTGGATAAAAACCAGGGAGTCAATTGCTGAATTATATAATGAGAGAATATTCAGTTTTGTAGGAAACTGCCAAACTGTCTCCCAAAGCAGCTGTACCATTTTGTATCCCCTCCAGCCACGTATGAGAGTTCCTGTTGCTTCACAATGTCACCAGCATTTGGTATTTCCAGTGTTTGGATTTTGGCCATTCAGTAGGTATGTAGTGGAATCCCACTGCAGTTTTAATTTGCATTTCCCTAATGACATATGATATGGAGTATTTTTCTAAATAATTTAAAATAGATTTTTATTGATTTTAGAGGGAGAGGAAGGGGGAGGAATAGAGAGATAGAAACATCAATGAAAGAGAAATTGTACGGCTGCCTCCTGCATGCCCCCTACTGGGGACCGAGCCCACAACCCCAGCATGTGCCCTGACTACGAATCAAACCAGGGACTTCTTGGTTCATGGGTCAATGCTCAATCACTCAGCCACACTAGTTGGGCTGGAGTATTTTTTTTTATATGCTTATTTGCTATCTGTATATCTTCTTGGGTGAGGTAGCTTTTCTGATTTTTTGCCATTTATTATGATTGTTTGATTTTTTTAATCATTGAGTTTTAAGAGTTTGTTGCATATTTTAGATAATATTTCTTTAACAGATATGCCTTTTGCAAATATTTTCTCCCAGTCTATGGCTTGTCTTCTCATTCTCTTAAACATATTGGGTATTCTTAAAATAGGCAAATACTAGTATAAAAATACTAAGGTGAACTCCTGCCATTTCATTAGTTGTTCCAAACTTCTAGAATCCTATTCCTTTAAAAAAAAATGTCATTTAGAGTTTCATGTTCATAACAAAAAGTATCATGTCTAGCTTATTTTTTAAAACACCCACCAACCTTGTGGACATATGGGTGATTGTATTATGTTGATGCTGCTAATGATATATACAAACATGGAACTGGATTGGCCAACAGTCTCCAGAACAGATTTGAATACCCAAATCAGTGTTATAATCCGAAGAATGCTGGTTGTTCTTCTTCAAGCAATGCTGGTGAAGTGCTGGCATGCACTTGGGCCTTTCCTGGACCATCAGACTGGACAATAAAGACATCTAATATGTTACACCCTAGTTTTGGACTACTATTATCTCCCTTGTATCATGGGATGTGAAAGATACCCTATAGTTATTGAATATCCCCCCCCCTCTCTTTTTTACAGTGTAGCCTTTCAATCATCACACTTATGGGCAGGGTCTCAATTCCAACTCTCTACCTCAAATGGGCCCAATGCCTTCTCTCTTGTATTCCTGGGCATTAAAACTGCCACTTCCATTCTTCTTTCTCCTGATCCAATTCAAACCTCATCACCTTCTGGGTGACTGTGGGAGCCTTGAAACTGATCTCATCAGTTGGAGCCCAAGACCTTTCTCTTCAACCAGGCCAACTCCTAATTGTACTTTAGGTCTTAGCCCAAACATAGATGCCTTAGAGAAGACCTATTTTTAAATATATGTTTTTATTGATTTCAGAGAGGAAGGGAGAGGGAGAGGGAGAAGTAGAAACATCCATGATGAGAGAATTATTGATCAGCTGCCTCCTGCACAAGGAATAGAACCGTGATCTCCTGGCTCATAGGTTGATGCTTAACCACTGAGCCACGCCGGCTGAGCGTTATAGAAGACCTTTGATAATCCCTCAGACTAAAATATTTTTCCTCTTGTTCATGATCATGTACTTCTCCTTTGTGTCCCTGGTGAATGCCACTATTAAATAACTCGTGTGTGTGTGTGTGTGTGTGTGTGTGTGTGTGCGCACGCGTGTGTGTGTGTGTTTCCTTCCTCATGTGTACTCTGTGAGCCCCGGGCCGATGTCTATATCATTTAATATTGTGCTGTAATATCTTCTGAGGAGTAACATGAGCTCATGGACTGATGGACAAATTTCTCAGGAAAGTCAGTGTGCCTTTTATTTTTTACACAAGATGGGACATATTCTACATCATGGGCACTTGGTTTCAGATATC